GGTAGAGGGCTCAGGGGCTCGCTCACCTGTGCGAGAATGTTGGCCAGCCATCCTGCGATGAAGTACGCCACAAAGTTGGCCAGCGCAACGACAAAGAACATGAGCGAGAAAAAGTTGCCCTTGCTGACGTCAATCGTCTCAAACGCGCGCATCGTCTTGGAAAAGAGCACCGCCAGCGCCGGGTACGTGCCGCCGCCGACGAGGCAGCACAGCATCGTCACCGCCATGGGCCACCACAGGGACCGCTGCTCCTTGAGGATCAGAAACAGTCCGTGGAGCAGACCGTACTGTTCGTCGTCTTCCTTGCCGTCGGCACCAGGGATAGTACCCGTCGTGGAAGCCCGCGTGAGTGCCACGTCCAGGTCCACGGGCGGCTTGCCTCCCCGTTCCTCCTCGCTCTCCTCGTCGCCGTCCTCGGCCGCGCCGCCGCCGCCGCCGCCCTTGCCCAGGTCCTGGGCCTGGACGAGCCGGGCGTATGCGCCGCCGAGGGCGATGAGCTCCGCGTGGGTGCCGGACTCGACCGTCTCGCCCTTGGACATGACGACGATGTTGTCGGCGTCGCGGATGGTGCTGAGGCGGTGCGCAATGACGACCATCGTGCGACCCTTGGCGACGTTGTTGAGGGCCGCTTGCACAATCTTTTCGGCGTTGGGGTCGAGCGCCGAGGTGGCCTCGTCGAGGAGCAGAACCTTCGGGTTCGAGATGATGCTACGGGCGATGACGATGCGTTGCTTCTGCCCACCAGAGAGAGAGGCGCCGCGCTCGCCAATGTACGTCTCGTAGCCCTGGGCTCGTCAGCAGTTGACCTACGGGACATGTAGCTCGTCATCGAGAAACGCACCTTGGGAAGATCCTCGATAAAGTCGTGGGCGTACGCAGCCTGGCAGGCCTCACGGACAAGACGCCTCTTCTCGTCGTCGGGCAAGTCGACCATGTCTGTGCCCGTTAGCCCGTCGACGACATTTTGGTAAATGGTACCGCTAAACAGCGTAGGCTCCTGCTGCACGAGTCGAATGTTGGTCCGCAGCCATTGGAGGTTCAAGTCCTCGAGGCGGTGTCCGTCGAGCGTAATGGTCCCGGCCGAGATGGCGTACCAGCGCTCCAGCATGCCAAAGATGGTGCTCTTGCCCGAGCCGCTTGCGCCCACGAGCGCCGTCGTCTTGTCCGACGGGATGTCGAGGTCGAGGCCGTGCAGCACGGGCACGCCGGGGCGCGACGGGTACGAGAACTTGACGCCGCGGAGCTTGATGTCGCCCTTGAAGTCGGCGATGCGCGTCCCCTCGGCCGAGAGCGAGTCGATGGCCGACTTGCGGTCGATGATGGCAAACAGGTCCTGCGCGGCGGCGGTGGCCTTGGAGATGGCAATGGTCTGGGGCGCAATCTGCGTGAGCGCCTGCGCGGCGACGAGCACGGCAAAGATGACGGTGACGACGGTGCCGGGCTGCTGGATCTCGCCCGTCGAGTACATGCGGATGCCCTGCCAAAAGGCGAGTGCGTAGCCGGCAATGACGCAGAAGAACTCGACGGGGAAGAGGATGGCGTAGATGAGGCTCTTGCGCTTGCCGACTCTTCTCGCGCGCTCAAGGATGGTGCCGAAGCGTTCCACGAGCTTGGGGAACGCCCAAAACGCGTGCGCGGTGCGAATCGTGGAAAAGGCCTCCTCGGCGAGGGAGCCGCTCTCCGAGTAAATGTCAAACATGCGGTACTCGAGGACGGTATCCTCGACGACGCACCAGATGGTGACAATGAGATTGAGGGGCACAATGGCGAGCAGGATAAGCGTGAGCTTCCACTGGACGGCAAAGGCGACGACAAAGGCGGTGACGAAGCTGGCGACGGCCTGGATGGTGAGGCCGAGCTTCTCCGAGATGCCGTTGTTGACGAGGTTGCCGTTGGTGGTGATCTGCCCGGACACGGAGGACGAGGGCGCGTCGAAGAAGGATATCTCCTGCCGCAGCGTCTGCCGCACGAAGTCGACGCGCAGCTTCTTGGTGGTGCGGATGGCGGTGATGTTGACGAGGACGGTCCACGCGTAGGTGAGGGCGAACTTGGCGATGAAGAGGTAGACAAAGTAGAGGCTGCCGAGCGTCAGCAAAGATTCTCCCATCTGTCTCTCTACCCCTTCTCTTCCCAGAGTGGGGAAGGCGAAGAGCAGACGAAAAACAGAGACCGTGCAAAGCATGGGAAGAGAGGCTGAGGGGAGGAAGACATACGTATACTTGCCCACCTCATCCATGTACCCATCCGCCGTCAACTCGCCCGTGACAAAGTCGTTGAAGACGTTGATAAACTTGCCAAAGACAATGTCCATCAGTGGCAGGACCGTGCCGGCGGCAATCATGCACACGAGGGCCACGCCGTTCATGAACCAGCCCTTGCCGTCGTTGTACGTGAAGACGCGCTGTCCGCCAATCTCTTATTTAGTCGACGTGTCCCACGGCTGAAGTGTCTCGGAACTACAACGCGTTGTTGTTACTGACCATGAAGTACTTGAAGCTCGAGTCGTCGCCCTTGCGCTCCTCCCGCAACGGCGCCGAGCCTGGGCTCTCATCATCATTGCCGCTGCTGGTGTTGGTGGGGGCCGCCTTCTTCTCTCCGCCGCCAGAGGCGAGGCTATCCTCAGCCACCTTGATGGCGACTGCCTCGTCAACGGCAGTGGTGCTCGTCGGCGCGGCCATCATCGAATGCTGGTGAGGGCTGGCCGGGGGTGGTGCTGTCGCCTGGTGGTGCCGTCGTCGCCTTTCATTTGCGGTGCAGCAACGTGTGTTGATGCCCACTGTGCGGCAAGGGTTCCTGAACCGTGAGGCGCCGGGGGAGAGAGAGAGTTGTCCGCTGTTGGAACAAGAGGCGGGACTGTGTCAAGATATGCTTAAATAAGAGTATGGGGGAGAGGAGGAAGGAAGATGCGGAGAGCCGCCACGGGTACGGCAGCCCTACGACGCAAGACACGCGAGCGTCCTGCAGGAGGCGCGATGAATTAACAAAGCAAGATGACGAATGCACCCCTTTGCCAAGATGCACAAGTAGGTCAGACAAGACGATAAATGCCCCGAAGGAGGAACGGCAAGCAAGCCCAACGGAAAACCTTGCCCCCCGGAGAAGAGATGCGCAGCAGCAGCAGCAGCAGCAGCGTGGGGTACACGGGCGGGAGCCAGCCGAAGGAATAGCTACGTACGTTAGCACGTAGCCAGCAACCGACCACATGCCTGCCTGTACCGGCTGCTCGTTAGTCGTTACCGTCATGGATGAAGCTTTTCGGGGGTCCGAATGTCCGCTCAATGTCCGCTCCGGGCGGGGCCCGCCCCTGCATGTATGGCCCGGCGCGAATCGACACTCGGCTTGGCGGACAGTCCGGCTGAGCGAGGCTTTGCTTGGACCCAAGTTTGACGCGAAAGACTAGTTACTGGTACAAAAAGGCAAAGCGCAGCAGCAACTCGCGGCGTGAATCACATCTCTTGGCTGGCTGGATGGACTACTTTTACTCTGCGTATGCCCTCCCCTCCCCCGTCATGGCGGAGCGGAAATACGGACGTGGAGCTTATCAAGCACGGCTCAACTCGAGCATCCGTACGGAGTACTGATGAGTTGGCGTCTTGGTGCTGCCAGCGGGGAGGTCGTGGAGGCGCCGAGCTGGCTCCGCCCGGGAAACCTTGGTACTCGAAAGTCCACTGTCGAGTACGAAACACGAACATGATGATAACGCGTTATTCGACCTAGTGAGTAGAGTCAGTAGACATGCGGAGATGGACATCTGGCGGGCGGAAAAGTGGACTTGGCGTCCGCCCACATTTTGATTCTCTTGATGGCGTTGCCTGTCAGGTTGTCCGTCAGGTTACCGCCTGCTGTTCCTCCGGAGCCGAGTCCGAGCCATGTCTCACCTCACCGGCCGCCGGGGGGGCCCTCGGGTGGAACGGCGGGCTCCGGGACAGAGAGACCTCCACCCCAGCAGTTGAGTGTAGAGAGACACTGGCGTCAACGTTGGTTGAAGGGTCTGCCCTCTTGCAAAGCCCTTGCCACGATAACGCACAACCCTCGGAACCCGGGTGATTGTCGTGCTGATGATGACTGAGTCTCCTTCCCTCCAAGCCCCATCACTCGACAGAATCGACAAAAAAAGGGCCACGCGGGAGAAACTCCACAATCGTCACCGGGCAGGACAGACCAGGCCAGGCCAGGCCTCGAAGCCCGCCCACTCACACACGCACACACAACGCAGGCCCAACGAGCGAAAACCGGGGACGCCACCATCCCTCCCGCGCACCAGCTCGTCGACCCAGACCAGTGGCTCGGGCCCCGCGGGCCCCGCGGCCCCCGGCTGGGCCGTATATGGCGGACGGGCCATCCGCCCCCTTGCCTGCAGTCTTCGTTCAAACGTTCCCCGCGACCGTTGATCCTCCCCTGCTGCCACCGCCGCCGCGTAGGTTTCTGACTGGTGATTCACCGAAACCGACCGACCGAACCGCACACAGCAGACAGACAGACAGACAGACAGACACACACTCCGGCAGTCCTTTGCACAAGCGGTCGGGTAATACTCAACAGCCAGCGCTTGGCTTCTGGCTGCTACCCGCT